AAACGTATGCTAACATCATCTTTCTAGGACGAGGCAAGTCGTTTGGTGTAAACAAAAAAACATCGTTGCCATTACCGTTATTATTTCTAAATCAAAAAATATATATAAATATTTTTCTAATTGTACAGTTAAATACATTATTGTCGAGCAAAACTTACTGTTGAAAAGAAAAAGCTTGTTGAGTTTGTCGTGGCCGACGAATTTGTCGATCTATACAAACAATTGAGTTAATATATAATTTTTGAACATTACATTAGAGAATAAAATAGTGTATTTACTATTTATCCCTTTGATTTCTTTATATCTGTTCAAGAAAGGGAAAAAAAAAATTTTTTAACAAAGATTTCGAACAATTTCAATTAAATGGAAAGAACATATTACTTTTTTCTGCAAGCTTGATCTGATCTTCTTACTTCAAATTCGGTTGAGATCTTTTTCCATTTTTTACCATGTATTTGTTCGACAAGCAGAACGAGAGCTCTTATTTCCTACAAAAATAAATTTAGTAAATTTGGTTTTGTTATTAAATCAGTATATATATTAATATATTGTATTTCATCAGTCCATCTCGATCTCATGCTGAATTCGTCTTTATTTAAGCTCAAATTAAAGAAAAGTTTGAGTTTTTTTTTTCTTTTTTTTTTTAAAACAAATATATCGAGGTAGGGCTTCAATGCTCCTTTTATACCCTTGGAAAGTATGGAATTTTGTGGATGAAAGATAAATTTTGTTCCGTATGATTCTGTATTTCGAAGAAAAATAAAAAAATCCAATTCTTGTTTTTAACGCGTGTAATTCGTACAACAAAAACTTAATCATATTTGTATATGTTTATATTATGTATAATCCTGATGCGGACAAATAATTATGTGGAAAATGAATGATTAAACTATTACTTGTAACAATTTCCGACATGCTAATTCAATAGCGGAAAGATTGCTAAAAACCAGGAAGGAAGGCAATAATGATGAACGATCACAACGAGTGTTAATTGGTATTTACATTTAATTATAAATCTTTTTTTAGCTGAACGGGATACTTTCGAGGTAGTGTATGATATTAAAGCAAGGCATATCGTTTCAATACTTTTTACCAATTTTATGCATAATTTTATTTGCTATTATTTCAAACATTATATTATTTTATTATTATTATTATGTATACATTTTTATTTATTCTCTAAGTAACGGATTAATTGAAAATTTTTCACGATTAATATCAACAAAAATACATGATTTGTAAAAGATTTTCATTAATTTATGTTTTTATTTGATTATATACAAACGAAAAAATTTTTTTTAAAAAAAATTTATACCTAAATAATTAATCATTCGCATCATTGTTGTTGTAATTGTCAGCTTACCTCTCTTAATCTAATATATCTAACTGTTTTCCTTTTTGACATCGGTTAACAATATAAACTTAAGTCC